CCCCTCCTGTCTTTTTGATACAGGCTCTCCCTGTAGCCCCAGCTGGCCTTGAATTCACAGAGATCCATCTGTGTCTGCCTCCCCAGTGCTGGGATTGAGGGTATGTGCCGCCATGCCCAGCTAACTTCATTTTTTTTTTTTTCATTCCAACTTCATATAGCACATAGATAATTATAAATGGAGCCTTAGGAATTTTCTGCAGCTGTGTGTCAAATTACTTCACAAAAATTTTAAATGAGGGCAATTTTTATATTTTTGTAGACAAGCTAAAGTTTGGCCTATTTTATTTCTTTTTAAACTTTTAAAATTTTTAAATTTTTTTGTGGTTTCTCAAGACAGAGTCTAGTTTCATAACCTAAACTGGCCTAAACTGTCCTCCTGCCTCAGTTTCCTGAGTGCTGAGATTACAGGTGTGTGCTAAGGCACCTGGCTTAATTTGGCCTAAAGCTGAAGAGGAGAGAGTGTGTATTTGTTACAAAGAAGTGAATGTATTTCCTTCTCATGTCCCTTTTAGGCAGCTGCCGCCTTTGTGATGTTTCCTGTTCAGACAATAACAACGGTCGACTCCTGTGTCGTGCAGTTAGATTTTTTGGACGGAAGATTGCTTGTGTCTTCGCTTACTCGATCCTTCTTATGTGACACTGAGAGGTAGAATGACGACCACGAGTCATCACATATATAGAATTTCAAGCTTTGGGGTCTTAGGAATCGTGTAGCCCAAGCCCTTAAATTAATTATATAGATATGAATGAAGAACCAGTTAAATAGAAGCTGATACTCAAAAGTGGGAGACCTAGGAGACCCAGACAGTCCAGTGGGTGATGGAGACAATCAATGAATCTTTCCCATGGCATGACCAAGTGCCAACGAGAAAAGGCCAAGCCCTTGTTTCCATATGTGGAATCAGGAAGGCTTCTCTGGTTTTGTTGTTGCTCTTTTTAAAATTTGTTGTGTATGTGATGGAATTAAAGGACAGAATTGAGTAAGGAATTAGTAAGAGCTTTGTGACGCTGACTGGTCTTCTGACGTCTCCAGGTGGAGACAAAGGTGCAGTGGGTGTTAAAGGAGTGTTCGATTGTGAAAGGAGTGTGGCGATTGTGAAATACCAGACCAGATTAGGAAACAGCTTGAGATGAGTGTTTGAGCTCATTGTGTCACAGGTCCTCAGCTAATCTCACTGCCCAGAAATAGTACCCATTGTTTCCACTGGCCCTGGTTCATTTGCTGGCTGTTCCGTTTCTCAGGATCATCCCTTCTTTTCAAAATTTATTACGGAAATCTTGAAGCACAGACAAAAGAGAGAATTCTGTAATGGACTAAACCCTTCTATACCTCCTTCATGGGGTATGGCTGGAGCTAGGTTGCAGGAACACAGAACTGGCCGCAAAAGTGAAATGTTCAGTTGTCCATTTTGCCTTAGCTGGGATCCAGTTTGAGGGATCATAGGTAGTATACTAAGTCAAAAACCCACCCAGCAAACAGCATTCTCTAAAAACTGGGACTCCTACGTTGGGCTTGCTGGCACAACTGTAATCCCAGCACTTCGGAATTATAGGGGTGAGGGGATCAGGAGTTCAAGGTCATCTTCGGCTTCATAGCTGATAAGGAGTATAATGAGGCCGTAACTTCTGATACTGCTCTGTGTATATTTCAAAGCATTTTTACATTCGTGTTTTATAGTATAACATATTCACAAAGCAAATAAGTAGAATATTTATTGAACTATCTGAGGTCATATGGTAAATTCATGCTAGAAAATAGTAGATCATTCTCCAAAACAAGAGATTGCATTTATGAGCTGGGTGAGGTGGCAATGCTTGTAATCTTGGCACTTGGGCAACAGAGGCAGGGACTAGAGGACTGTGAGCTCAAGGCCAGCCCAGACCACATAGTGAGACCCTCTCTCAAAACATGAAGCTACATGATGTGATGGTGTGTGCCTTTAATCCCAGTACTTGGGCAGCAGAGGCAGTTGGATCTCTGAGTTCAAGGCCAGCCTGGTCTACGCAGAGAGTTCTAGGCCAGCTGGAGCTACGGGGAGCCCTGTCTCAAAAATACCACCCCCCCCACAAAGCTACAATGTACTGTGTGTTTCCTGTGGGTCAGACACTCTGTACACTGGGAATTCAGCTAAAGAGGAGCAAGAAAAAGAGCCTGTGCCCTGACAGCTCATAACATTCAGGTAGACAGACCTGCATGTGTGATGTAGCAGGCACCATGAAAGAGTAGAAGCACGTAATGCAGCACGTGGAGCCGAGGAAGGAGAATTGGTGCAGCCAGGGCATAAAGCGTGGGTATCAGGAGACAAATATCATGTGTTTTCTCTCCTCTGTAGAATCCAGATAAATAAAAATAAATATGCCCTCATGCCTATGTATATGAATGACACGAAGGGCAGAAATGGCTATGGGAGGAAAGAGGCAAACATTTCTTTCTTTTTTTTTTTTTTGTCTTTTTGAGACAGGGTCTCCTTGTAGCCCTAGCTGTCCTGGAACTCACTATGTAGACCAGGCTGGCCTCAAACTCACAGAGATCCGCTTGCCTCCGCCTCCCAAGTGCTGGGATTAAAGGTGTGCGCCACCACGCCCTGCCTCTTTTTTAAAATATTTTATTTCGTATCTTTATTTTATGTGTATGAGTGTATTGCCTGCATGTTTGTAAATGCACCTATTTTGTGCAATGCCCTCGAAGGACAATAGAGGCCTTCAGATCCCCTGGAACTGTAGTTATAGGCAGTTGTCAGCTGCCCTATAGGTACTGGGATTTGAACCTGGGTCATCCTCAAGAGCAGCAGGTGCTCTTGACTGCTGAGCTATCACTCCAGCCCCGTGACAAACATTTCAAGTTTGCTCTTGGGTAGAATCTAGAAATAAATGTATATTTATTTGGGTATATCTGTTTACTGGTCAATCTGTGGTAGATCGACAACAGTGTGAGGACAGGGGAGGAAGGGGACAGTGTGAGGACAGGGGAGGAAGGGGACAGTGTGAGGAGAGGAGGGAGGAAGGGGACAGTGTGAGGACAGGGGAGGAAGGGGACAGTGTGAGGACGGGAGGAAGGGGACAGTGTGAGGACAGGGGAGGGAGGAAGGGGACAGTGTGAGGACAGGGGAGGAAGGGGAGGTTATTGTGAGCAAAGTACGATGTTCTACATGTTTAAAAGTGTCATAATGAAACTCATTTTATGAGCCACAAAAAAATTAGTTGTAAAAAGAATAGCTAGGCAAGTATGAAGGCTCATACCTGTCATCTCAGCACTTGGGAGGCTGAGGCAAGAGAATTGCTGAGCATTCAAGTCCAGCCTGGCTACATAGGAAGTTCCAGGCCAGCCTGGGCTAGGAGTCAGACCCTGTTTCCAAAATGACAAACTACAACAGAACTCCAAAAGATCAAATGATAGGGGTGCTCAGAAGAGGCTGGTCATGATCCCTCCAGGGTTCCTGTGGTGAGTGCAGCCTTCAGGGTTAACCAGGTATTTCTAAGGGAGTAGGACGGCCCAAGATTGGGAATTTCCAAAGGACCTGGTGTTTTGAGGAAAGGAGGAAGAGTTTATTGGGTGTTTGTGTTGAGGGAAGGGCTTGGCAACAACTGAGAAGTAGACTGACAGCTTCTACAGAATGTCCAAAGAAAAGTATGTTCTACACAATGACCTGGAAATGAACAGTTGGATCCAGAGATGAATGAAGTGGCTTGATAACTCCTTTCGGATCCGAAACAGGCTTTCTTCGTTCTATGGATAATGTGAAGAGGTTTGCTTCCTGTCACAGAATAGTTAGTGGTAAATCAGCCCCTACCTCCACCTCTCCATGTGGTTGTTTCCTAGACTGTCTGACTGAGTGAGGAGGAGGAAAAGGAGAAGATCATTGTAGGTGGGCTGTATGGCCATCCTGATTTCTAGGGCTGTTTTTCTTTTTAAAGAGTTATTTTTATTTTGGGACTGGAGAGATGGCTCAGCGGTTAAGAGCACTGACTGCTCTTGCAAAGGACCTGCATTTGGTTCCCAGCACCTACGGTGGCTAACAGCCATCTGTAACTCCAGTTCCAGGGGATCCAACGCCCTTTTCTGGCCTCACGGGTATTGCATGACACAGGTGCACTTACATACTTGCAGGCAATATACTCATACACACAAATAAAAATAATAAATAAAATATTTTAAAACATTTTTATTTTATTTATTTATTTATTTATTTATTATTTCTTTATTTATTTATTCTTTTTGAGACAGGGTCTCCCTGCAGCCCCAGCTTTCCTGGAACTCACTATGTAGACCAGGCTGGCCTTGAACTCACAGAGATCCGCCTGCCTCTGCCTCCCAAGTGCTGGGACTACAGGTGTGCGCCACCATGCCCGGCTAAGTTATTTTTATTTTTAATTATGTGTATGTGTGTGAGTACAGGTGCTGAAGTTGTAGCAGTTGTGAGCCACCTGACATGGGTGCTGGGAATTGAACTCTGGTCCTTTCCGAGAATAGTATGTGCTCCTATACCACTGAGCCCTCGCTCCAGGCTATGTTTTTTTTTTTCTTTGATGCTATTGTTTTTACTTTTTTCTTTTTGTGTAGGTAAACATACTTTCTCTTCCTTTCTGGACATTAGGGAAAAGTTTTGGAAAATTGGAAATAAGGAAAGAGATGGAGAATATGGGGCTTGTTTCTTCCCAGGAAGATGTGCTGGGAGCCCGCAGCCTCTGATCTACTGTGCTCGCCCTGGCTCCAGGATGTGGGAAGTGAGCTTTGACGGGGAGGTACTGAGTACACACCAGTTCAAGAAACTCCTGTCGATGCCACCACTCCCTGTGATCACTCCAAGGTAGTGATTGGATGGCTGGGCGGGTCAGAGGAGCTTTGCTGGAGGGACTGGGTTAAAGTCATGGTGTTGCATATATGCCCAAGATTTTGTCTTTTTAAAGTATTTATTATTTTTATTTATGTGTATGAGTGTATTACCCACATGTATGTAAGTGCACCCGTGTTGTGCAGTACCTGCAGAGGCTAGAAGAGGGCATTGGATTGCATGAAACTGTAGTTAACGGATGGTTGTTAGCCACCATGTGGATGCTGGGAATTGAACCCAGGTCCTCTGGAGGAACAGCAAGTGTTCTTAACCATTGAGCAATCTCCCTAGTCCTTCTTTCTTTTTTTAATTGAACTGAAAGTTTCATACAACATAATTTGATGGTCTTCATATACCCACCCCCTCCCCTTATTGCCCATGCCACATTTAATGTTCTCCCCCCCAACACACACACACACACACACACACACACACACACACACAAGGCTTATAAAATCTAATTTGTGTCCCCAAATGTCCTTCAGTGTGGGTTCATCCACTGGAGCCTGATCAACCTACCAAGAGTCCCGTCCTTGAAAGAGACTGTCTCTACCCCTTCCAGCAGCCATTGGTTAACACCACAATTTCCTTACATTGGGTTAGGGGTTCTTACCCACCTAGTAAGGTAGAATTAAAAAAAAATTTTTTTTTATGTTTATCAGTGGTTTGCCTGCATGTTAAAGTGTACCAAATACCTGAAATGCTCACAGAAGCCACAAGAGGGCATAGGATCCCTTGAAACTAGAGTTAATAGTTGTTAGCTGCCATGTGGGTGCTGGGAACCAAATCTAGGTCTTCTGGAAGAGCAGCCATTGCTCTTAACCACTGAACCGTCTCTCTAGCCCCATTAGGAGTGAAGTAGAATTTTTATCAAAAAACCAGAACAGTCTTTAATCAACTGTCTTTCTTGTGATTAGAGAGTAACTTGATTTTTAAAAAATAATTTTAATATTTTATTTATTCTTATTTTATGTGTTTGAGTGTATTGCCTACATGTAAGTACACCCATGTCATGCAGTGCCCACAAAGGTCAGAAGAGGGCTTTATGGAGGGTTGTTAGCCACTATGTGGGTGCTGGGAACCAAATCCCAGTCCTCTATAAGAGCCAGTGCTCTAACTGCTGAGCAATCTCTCCAGCCCCACAGAGAGTAACGAGTGACGAGAGATGCGGTTGAGGCACTTGAATTCGTTTTGGAGCTGAAATTTGTTCTCTATTGCAAAAGATCTGATTTTAAGTTGTGCTTAAATTGTTAGCAGCCACGTTTCTCTTGTAGGTCAGAGCCCCAGTACGATCACACAGCTGGACCCGCCCAGGCCTTGTTGTTCCCCAAACTCTTGCATCTTAGGTAAGTTTCTCCTTTGGCTTTTTCTTTTGTTCAGATGTAATTTGCGCCCCCCCCCCTTTTTTTCTTTCTTTTTTTTAAGATAGTCTCCCTGTAGCCCCAGCTGGCCTGGAACTCACTGTGTAGACCAGGCTGGCCTTGATCTCGTAGAGATCTGCTTCTCGAGTACTGGCACTAAAAGTGTGTGCCACCATGCCTGGCTATGCCGTTAATTTTTTTTTTTTTTTTGAGACAGGATCTCACTGTTGGCCCTGGCTGGCCTGGAACTTGCTATGTTGACCAGGCTGGCCTCCAGTTCCCAGAGATTTGCCTGCCTGTGCCTCTGCAGTGCTGGGATCACACCCAGCAGACTTTTTATTTGTTTTCTTTGACTTTTTAAACATCACCCTTAGGAGTAAATGGATTAGAAAGAGACAGCGGAGATGCGGAGCACCAGAGAGGCAGGTGGAGAACCAGGAAAGCCAGCTCTGGGGAAGTAAGGACTGTGAAAGAAGGGACAGCCTGGGGGTCAGGAAAACGGGGCAATGGAGAGGATGGAGAAGGGACAGCCTGGGGGTCAGGAAAACGGGGCCGATGGAGAGGATGGAGAAGGGACAGCCTGGGGGTCAGGAAAATGGGGCCGATGGAGAGCTATTGGGTTGAGTAGTTAGCAAATGCATTGCTTTTTGAAAGTTCATTCAAGTGAAACAATCAGGATTCCAGATAACAGAGAGTGCATTTCTGGGGACAGATGAGGAAGAAGGTCTGTTCTGTGAGATACAGAGGTGAAGGTTCAGACTTTGGCACTACATCCTTGGTTTGAATTTAGACTTTTCTGCCTTTATGCTGACTGGGCCTGGGCATGTTATTTCACCTTTCCACCACTTTGTCTTGTTTTTACAAAATAACACTTCTACCTGATGGGCCTCAGATAATCTGCTGTAGCCCTCATAATGCCCCAGCCTTTTGTCACCTACACACACTGATGAAGTCCAGATAGTGCTGTTCCTAACAGCACTGGAGTGATTGGCTGTTTTAAGTGAGCATGTGTCATATCGTATCTGGGAAGCTCCCACATTAAGTGCGCCGAGCTTTCCTTTTTCCGGATAGCGGCCTTTTCCTGTTCTAGAAGCTATGTAGTGTATGTGTCTGAGTTTTATGAAGTTGGCATCATTGATTGCATTTTCTTAGTGGCTGTCAGAAAGGAGGGGTGGGGCTGGGTAGGCTGGGTCACTGCTGCATCTCCTTGTGTAGGCTGATTTGGCTTTACTAGTAATGAGACAATCTGCGTTCAGAGAGAAGTTCTGACCCTGGCACATCTGAGTTCCCTTCACCTCTTTGGTCTTGTCTTCCAGCGAGCACTGTGTGGTGACTTGGACAGAAAAGGGAATTTATATTTTCATTCCTCAGAATGTTCAAGTTCTCCTTTGGAGTGAATTCAAGGGTAATTATATTTTTATTTCTTACCTAATTTTCAATTTCATAATTGTGTGTGAAAGTTACTTATGTGAGAATTCTCTTACAATCTGAGAAGTTGAAAATTTAGGGAATGATACTTAGTGTATGTGACCAAGAGAAAACCAATCTCTGTGTTCTTTTGGTTAAAACCAGAGTATGGGAAATTTTAGCACTGCTGCATAGGAAGATAGTGCATTGGCATTTGGGCCTTTTCTACTAGAAGAGAAAGGGACAAGAGCATTACTGACCCACAGATTTCTTATAGGTCATCTCCCCTCCCATGAATGGTTCACTTATTTATATACTTTGTTAAAATTAGGAGAGGTTTTGGTCTTTTTTCTCCCTCTAGCCCCAGCTGTCCTGGAACTCATTATGTAGACCAGACTGGCCTCGAACTCCGAAAGATTCACCTATCTCTGCCTCCCAAGTGCTGGGATTACAGGTATACGCCACCATATTCGGTGAACATCAAGCTTTAACTCTTAGTAATGTTAGTCTGGCCTATAATGTATTACCCACTTTGGCAATCCCAATTATTTTTCATAGGAATTAGCATTTTATTATTAGTATTATTATATTTATTTACTTATTTTTGAGAGAGGACCTTACTGTATAGCCCTGCCTGGCCTGGAACTCACCATATAGACCAAGTTGGCTTCCAACTCACAGAGATCCTCCTGCCTCTGCCTTCTAGTGCTGGGATGTAACCCCCCTGCTGCCGCATAGTCCTCCTGCCCCCTTGCTTGACTGATGCCAAAAAATTAAGATTAGATCAGGGGCTCTTGGCATTTGTCCACTCAAGAGCACTTTCACTGTCCTCTTTAGAGCTTTTATTGGAAGCTTAGTGTTTGAAGTTCACACAGAGTTTACATGTGATAAGTGCTTAAGCAGTGCACAGCACATAGGAATTGTCCTATCACTAACGGTGAGAAAGCAAGGCCAGTGAACCCGAGGCTGTGGAGACTGCCCAGTGACGGACTTCCTTTGATGTACGCAGAAACATAACAGGGGACAAACCAGCCCCGGCACCCACGCACAGCCGTCTGGTCATCTTCCCAGCATCCTGGCAGCAGACTGCCCCCTCCTCAGCCTTTACATTAACAGAGTCCAGAGAAGTCTGTCAACTCTCAGTGAGCTGAGTGCTAGTGTCCTTAAAGTATAAGGGTTACTACAATGGGATTAAAGGTGTGCACCACCACACCCAACTGGAAATAATGTTTTAAACTTAGGATTTTGAATCACAAAGGTGTGTTTTTTTATTTCCTAATCTTTTTAGAATAGTGTCCAAAATATTTTTTCATTGAAGTAGAAATATAAAAAGATGAAATTCAGTCAAGCCAAACCTTATTTAAAAATTGTATTAGTTACTTTTCTGTTGCTGTGGTAACGTACTCTGAACAAGGCAACTCAGAGAAAAAAAGTTTATTTTGGCTTAATGGTTCCAGAAGGATAGGAGTCCATCATGGCGGGGAGGTGTGGCAGAGGAGCAGAAAGCTGAGCGCTCACATCTCCCACCACAAATGGGAAGCAGAGAGCAAACTGGAAGCTGGGTGAGGCTGTGAATTCTAAGCCTACCCCCACTGACGGGCTTCCTCCAACAAGGTTGACCTCCTAAAACTTCCATGGCCTCCCAACAGCACCACTAGCTGGAGACCAAGTGTTCAGTCCCTGAGTCTCTGCAGTCTCTGCTCATTCACACCACAAGATTTGTTAGTATAATATTAGTCTTTGCAGAAATGGTGGGATTTTGCCCTCCAGTTCTGGGGATCAAACTTAGGGCTTTGTATATTCTAGACAAGTGCTTTACCACTGAGCTACATCCCAGCCCCAGGCCTTACAAAAATAGAAGAGAGGTGTTTGATTAATATCCTGTCTGTTCACCCATGTGTTTTTGTAGATATTCAGGATGTAGCTGTCTGCAAGAATGACTTGTTCTGTTTGCACCTTAATGGGAAAATATCCCATCTTTCTCTGTTGCCTGTGGAGCGCTGTGTGGAACGCCTACTAAGGAGAGGCCTGTGGGACCTGGCCGCGCGCACGTGCTGCCTCTTCCAGAATTCTATCATTGCCAGTAGAGTGAGTCAGAGCTTGCCAATACATGTTTTTGTGGGTTGATGAAAGCCAGCCTGGCTGTCAGAGTTGTGTTACAGAGTTGCTTGTCTTTACTAACCTTTCTGTGTGACTTAGAGTATGGCAGTGATCTCTAAAGCATGGCAGATTTATTCACTCACAGAAGGTAATAAGATGGTACACTAAATTCACTCACATCTTTGAATATCAGATCCCGTTTTTAAGGGGGAGGATTGTACATATAGTCATTCTTGATATAGTTCTGATTAAGCTTGTTAAACCTTAAAACACACCCATTAAGGTTTATTTTTATTAGATCTCTTTTAGCATTTCGGTTCTTTGAATATAGATTCAGTTACAAAGAGGTCTTTTCTGTTGGGGCTTTTCTTACCCTTTTATTAGGCAAGAAAAACTTTGACTGCAGATAAATTAGAGCATTTGAAATCTCAGCTGGACCCTGCAACCTACAGTGAACTCATTGCTCAATTGGATGAATTGATCTTAAAATTTGAACCTTTGGATTCAGCTTGCAGCAGTAGAAGAAGCTCCATTTCGTCACATGTACGTGTTCTTTTTAAAGACTACTTTTATTTAGTGTGTGTGTTGGAGGGGTGCATGTGCTGCGGAGGTAAGAACAGCTTTCAGAAGACTGTGCTCGTCTTCTACCACGGGGGTTGTGAGACTGGAACTTGCGCCATCGAACCTGGCGGCAAGCACCTTTACCATCTCGCCAGCCCAGGATTCCCTTTTGGAAGAGTTTTTGTTATAGACTGAGATTGTGTTACCTTAGACTTACCTGCAGGATCCCAAATCGTTCTTGCTTTCTACGTAGTACGTTCGAGGGGTGAGGGTGAAGATGTTAAGTTTTCTATTACTTTCATAAAATTACATGAGCCAGGTGTGGTGGTGCATGCCTTTAGTCCCAGCAGTGGAGAGGCAGAGGCAGGAGGATCTCTGTGAATTCAAGGCCAGCTTGATCTACATGGGAGTTTCAGGCCAGCTGGAGCTACAGGGAAACCCTGTCTCAAAAATCCAAAACAACAAAAACTAAAATTATATGAGATAAACAGTTTATAAAAAGGAAAGAGTCAGCCAGGCATGGTGGCACACAGTTTTAACCCCAGTACTCAGGAGGCAGAAGCAGGCAGATCTCTGTGAGGTTGAGGCCAGCCTCGTCTACATAGCAAGTTCTAAGCCAGGTGGAGCTACAGGGAGACCCTGTCTTTAAAAAAAAAAAAAAAAAAAAAGCACGAAAAGGTTATTTTGGCTTGTGGCTTCAGAGGATTCGGTACCTGGTTGCTTGGTGTACTGTCCTTTAGGCCGTTGGCAAGGCAGAAGATCATGGCAGGGAACATGTGGTGGCCAAGGCTCAGCTCGTAGCATCCAGGAAGCAAAGGCACAGGGAAGGGATGGGCTCGCAGCTCCCCTGCTAGGGTACACCCCCGTAGCCTAACTTCTTTCTACTCAGCCCCACCTCTTAAAGGTTTTATCACCCTGGGGCTGGAGAGACAGCTCAGCAGTTAAGAGCATTTACTGCTCTTGCAGAGGACCCGGGTTCGATTCCCAGCACCCGCATGGAGGCTACGAACTGTCCTTAACTCCAGTTCCAGGGGAATCCGAAGCCCTCTTCTGACCCCTGCGGTATTGCATGACATGGGTGCACTCACGTACATGCAGAAAAATAATAAATAAAATATTTTTTAAAAAGACAGCTCAGCAGTTAAGAGCATTTACTGCTCTTGCAGAGGACCCGGGTTCGATTCCCAGCACCCGCATGGAGGCTACGAACTGTCCTTAACTCCAGTTCCAGGGGAATCCGAAGCCCTCTTCTGACCCCTGCGGTATTGCATGACATGGGTGCACTCACGTACATGCAGAAAAATAATAAATAAAATATTTTTTAAAAAACATTTAAAAAAAAAAAACGGTTTTACCATCCCTAGTACCATCAGTGTAGGGCCCTTTGGGACACATTCAAAGTCCCGAGTGTAACAGACTTCTTTCTGTCGGAGGAGCAGTAGTATAGAGTAGTATGTAGTGAAGCCACATTTTGTTTTATTACTGTGGATTATTTTCTGTTCCCAAGTGTTCCCCACGTGGCCTCCAGTACAGTTAGGTGGTTCCTGGCCTGTGATTTCAGATGCTTTATGCTAATTGAAGTCTCAGTGCTGCCAAGAATCTTATTCTCACTGCCATGCTTTGTAAGGATAAGCTGGAGGATATACGGCCTGGTATCACTGGCTTATGTGAGATACCCAGCTATGAGGGGCTAAACGGTCTCCACAGCTGTGTTCCAGGGAGCCATGATTGATGCTCTTGGCTTCCCACTTTAGTGTTAATGTTTTTCTGAAAAAGCTGTATTGTGATGGGCTGGAGGGCTGGCTCAGTGGTTAAAAGCACTGCTCTTGTAAAAGATCCAGGTTTGAATCCCAGCTCCCATGGTGGCTAACAACCTTCCTCGTAACTCCAGTTTTAGGAGATTGAATGCCACCTTCTGTCCTCTGCTGGCACTGTATGACATGGGTGCACTTAAATGCATGCAGACATAACACTCATACACATAAAATAAATACAAAGTAAAGCTATATCGTGTTACAACAGAGAGCTTTGATTTAGAGGGGAATGTTTTTCACTTTTAGGAGAGCTTTAGCATCTTGGACTCTGGTATCTACCGTATCATCAGCAGTAGAAGAGGCAGTCAGTCAGATGAAGACTCCTGCTCTCTTCACAGCCAAACCTTCTCAGAAGATGAGAGACTTAAAGAATTTGCTTCCCATCAGGAAGAGGACCAGCCAGAGCAGGGCTGCGGCTCAAATGCAAGCGAAGGTGATGACTGTGTCTCTTGGTCGCTGATGACAAACAGTTGCTTTCTGGGAACTTGGCAGGATTGTCATATGTGGAGCTTCTCATAGCCGTGATTTTTATTTTTAGTACATTGATAGACTTTCCATCCAGACATGCTGGCCACTAGAGGAGGGTGCTGGTGTTTAGGTTTGGTTTTGTTTTGTTTTAACCTGTTTGGATTAACGTTCAGAAAGTGCCTAACTTTGGTAATGCATCAAAATGCTGGCCAGATTAAGAAAAGGAGATCATTAGCCAAAATAATAGAAAGAATTTTGTCCTCACTAACCAAGTTATTTTCCACCAGGAATGAAAGACTGCTACAGTTTTCTGGGCCATTCCTTCCCTTTTCAGTGTTCCAGTGTCCTGTGACTGAACCGTTGAGGAGCGGTTAATAGGAACTCTAAACTTCCTTTTGGCTTTGGGGATTCAGGGTTAGTAGGCAAACGAAGGTACCCGCTTAGTGTTTCATGTGGACCATCCCATGCACCTCGTGGACTGTGTTCTGTGCTCATTTGTATCTGGGTCAGTTATTTTGGTATTGAATCCTCCATTTCCTTTGGTTTATTCATTTCTGAATTAGTTTAGTTGTGGTTTTTTTTGTTTTTTTTTTTAACTGCCATGTGATTAGATTTTGTTTTCTCCCGATTCTGTTTATTAGACAATACTTCCCATGGTCCAGTGACACTTGAGACAGACAAGAATGAGACGTTTCTCCCCTTTGGCCTCCCGCTGCCGTTCCGTGCTCCATCTCCTCTCCTGTCTCTTCAGGCTGTCAAGGAAAGGTAAACTCCGCTGGCTGTTCACTCCATCCCATTTCTGATGTTACGTCAGTTGTTGTGTTGAACCGAGAAGGAAAAGGCATTCTGAATGCCAAGCCTTTATTTCTCTTATAACCTTTTAATATGAAGCTGCTGATTTCTCCTCCTTACCTGGGGGACTTGAGCTTTCTTCTTCATTTTAGTAACTGAGCATTAAGCTGTTACAGATTCATCTGCTCTCGTACCCCCAGACACAGCAAAATTTAAAAATCTGCTTTATTCACATTCCTGTTGCATGCCACAGTGTGCCTCTGTGCAAGTCAAAGGCCAGCCTTGTGGAGTAGTTCTCACCTCCCACATGTGGGTTCAGGGGATTGAGCTGAAGTCATCAGGCCTGGTGGCAAGCGCCTGTACCTGCTGTGCCACCTCACTGGACCATCAGTCATATTTTGACTCTTCTCACTCCTGAGTGAGAATTGGAGGGCATTTTTTTTTTTTTAATCGTTTCTTGAGATAAGGTCTCACGTAGCTCTGGCTGGCCTCACACTCACTAAGTAGACTAGGCTGGCCTCTCCCAGAGATCCACCTACCTTTACCTTGTGAGTGCTAAGATTAAAAGCATGTACTACTTCACCAAGCAGAATTGGAGATTTTTGAGAATTCTTTCTACCTACTGTACAAAACCAGTTTTGGCACTGAGTGTGAGAGAGAAGACTTTGCGTGTTCTGCTGGTTACCTGAGAATTGTGAAAAGTCGGGAGCTAAGTTTCATGAAGTCCTTTGTTGTTCTCTGACGAGGAAGGGTTGATGATCATGTGCTTAATTTTTCTAAGTTGAAGGAAACATTGTAGAGATAACTGGAGTTGAAGGCCTTCCGCTTAGCATTGAGTCATTGGTTTCCCAGGATAGTATCATAAACTTGTATTTTATTGTAAGTTTTACATGGGCCTTATGTGAACTGCATAGTTGATTAGAGGAATTGTTATAAAAAGTTACTTTCTTTTTATTAAGCCCAAGCTGATTTCCTAAGGCTAATGGTGACCTAGAAAGGCTAATGGTGATCTAGAAAAGTCAAACTAAAATTTTCACTCTTGACAGTAGTGATATATTTTTCATGTTACATTTTTGATATTTGACTTACAGTGTTTCTAGTTTTGTCCGGAAAACTACTGAGAAGATTGGCACCTTTCACACAGGCCCTGAGCTGAAAGAGAAACAGGACTCCAAGGATGATGGCCTAAAAGAGAAACAGGACTTCAAGGATGCTGATCAAGCATGTGAAGAGGAAGGGGCTGCAGTCCCCTGTCCTCGGGAAGAAGACGCAGAGTAAGCCTTGCGTGTGTTGGGAATGCTAGGGGGCTGCCACCGTGAAGAGGCCGTAGACTGTACTGTTGGCGGCCCTGTCTTTGTAGCATTGCTCACTGAAGACTGTATTGCTCATCAGTTGTGAATTCTACAGTTTAAGAAAATTAAATCTGCCGGGTGGGGTGGCGCACACTTTTTGGTTCCAGCTCTGAGGATGCAGAGGCAGGCAGAGCTCTCTGAGTTCGAGGCCAGCCTGGTCTACATAGTGAGTTCTGGGCCGGTTGGGGAGACCCTGTCTGGAGACAGAAAAAAAGTTGCAGTATATTTAAAAGTGAGTAGCATGACTAAGGATCTTGGTCTTGTCTCAGGTCTTATGACTGGTGTGTGACTTTCAGTCATGAATGTTCTCTAACCTGTGAGCTCTAGGATGTGCCATTTACTTGATGAGTCAAAGGGGAATATTTGATGAAAATAATGAGATGGGGAAAAAAAAAACCTTTCAGGCAATGTAATAGGCAACATGCACACTGCTTAGTGCGTAGACGTCTTTGTCTGCAAAAGCTTTGGTCGCCTCTAATGCTTGTGAACGCATTTTTTTTTTTCCTAGAGGGAAGGAAGTAAGCAGTCAGCCTCCTGAAGAAGACAGGTTCCAAGAACTGGCAGCAGCAACAGCAGAAGCAATGTGAGTGTGGAGGAAGTCTCGTAGTGAATGGTTGGCTCTGGAGCTCATCAGCGTGGTATTCAAGAATTAGTACCGTACTCCAAGCTCACTGTCCTCTGTTGTTTTGCTGAGATACTTGTTACTTAAAGAGCTCAAAAGTAACATTTATTCCAGCTGAGTATGTTTTATCAGTTAGGTTATTTAATATGAAATTATAATTTCATATTCATCTGTTTTGTATAGGACAAAGTTACTGGATCCTCTGGTTTTATTTGAACCCGAGTCTCTAAGAATGGTTTTGCAGAAGTGGCTTTTGCAGTTAGAAAAAGCGTTTGCTATGAAGGACATGGCAGGCATTTCCAGTACTGGCAGTTCACCCACGAAGTTGAACCGGGATGTGCCTCTACTTAGTGAATCAGAAAAGAGAATACTAGATGATGATAATGAAGAGGAAAAGAGGGACTCTTTAGGCATTGAAGGAACTGGTGTTCAGATGGCCTGCGAATCTGAAAACAGCCTGACAGAGCCCCTGGGCGACCTCTTTCAAGTATATTCTCCATACACCATGGCAAGCAGTCTTCAGAAGGACCTGGTGGAATTGGCAACGTTGTGCTTGGAACTGAATGTGCTGAATTCTACAGTGAAAAGCCTAGGCGGACACGCGGACCTTACTGCACAGCCGAGCTCTCCTGAAATCATGGCTTGTCAGTTCCTGAAGAAGTACTTTTTTCTCTTGGACCTGAAAAGAGCAAAGGAGAGTATCAAGCTTGGTTACACTGACAGCCCTTGTGTTTGGGATACTTTTGTTCGAGGACTGAGAGGTAATGATCAGACTGAGTTACCAAATATAGAGGAGGGTAGCACTTCATAATTGGGGGATTAACAAAAGATTTAAATAGAAGCCGAGCGTGGTGGCGCACGCCTCTAATCCCAGCACTTGGGAGGCAGAGGCAGAGGCAGAGGCAGGCAGATCTCTGTGAGTTCAAGGCCAGCCTGGTCTACATGGTGAGTTCCAGGACAGCTGGGGCTATGGGAGACCCTGTCTCAAAAAGACTGAAAAAAAAAAAAAGATTTAAATAGAAAAATCACCTCTGTTCTGACCAGTCCTCCATTCTGTTTCCCACTCTTTTTTTAAATTCATTTTTGATTTTTCAAGATGGTCTCCCTGTAGCCCCAGCTGACCTGGAACTCACTGTGAAGACCAGGCTGACCTCAGTTTCACAGAGATCTGCCTGTCTCTGCCTCCCAAGTGCTGAGATTAAAGATGTGGGACACTGTGCCTGGTATTGTTTTCCACTTATTAAATTTTTTTTAAATTTATGCGTGTGCCTCCTTTAAAAGAAAAAAAAACTGCGTGTGTGTGTGTGTGTGCTTGCATCTGCACTGTCACACACACGATGATCAGAGGACAACACTTAGCAGTCAGTTCTCTCTTTCCACCGTATGGGTCCTCGGGATTGAACTCAGGGCATCGGGGTTGGCAGCGAGCACCTTCACCGGCTGAGCCATCTCAGTGGTCCTGTTTTCCATTCATTTAAACTTTAACTGTTCTTCAAACACTGATTTACTTTGTTTTTCTATTGTAAGAAGTTAGTTTTGTTTTCCTTAAAGTAACATTCATAGCATGGTGCAGCAATGTTGGAACAATTGAGGTAAAAGTAAAATGTTTATTTATGCAGATATAGGAAGAAAAATTTTTATGTGACATATAAAGGTGATGCATACCATATATTGAGTATACCCAATGTGCCATGGAATATGGTAGTTTTCAGACATCAGTTCCTTGCGTTATTATAGCAATCTTCAGAGTACATGGTTCTAATGCATTTTCTAGCTGGGGAAAGGGAGGCACAGAGATATTAGTTGGGTAGATTGAACTACTGTAATAAATATCTCATAATGGAGTGACTCAGACTTAATACTGTATTTCTTGCTCATGTAGCAGTCCAGAACAAACAATCCAGGTCAGTGAGCAGTGCTCTTCCACGTGATTCAGTATTCCAAGTTTGTTCCAGTATTTTACGCTCTGTCCTCCCTTAGGGCTTGTGACCGAGGTTGGCTTGCTGTGCAGGTGCTCTCTGACTAGCGTGGCCTCATGATGGCTTCCCTCTCTTCTGTTTCACATCACATTGGTGAGAATCCCTTCACATGGCACTGCTTAACTGCAGAGGAAACCAGGAAATGAACCAGCTGGTGATAGCTTGCATGTGTGTTTGGTGCACAGCTCACGTCTTAGATTTGGCTGCAGCTCTCACTGTCGGCCATCCTGACAGAAATGGACATGCTGTCCTAAAGGCTGCATGTTGCCTTAGCCTCTGCTGTGTTACCCTGTTTTTGAATGTGGTGTTTTTTGTTTGAACGTCATAATTCTGCTTAAATAACAGGTGCCACTTTTCCAATAATTTAGACTAAGCTCCCTGATTTTCACTGCCAAAAGTGAATTGCCACAGGCAGAGATATACTTGTGTATTATCTGGCTTAAAGACCTTTTAAATTTCTAGCAAATACATCTACAGTTACAGTTCTGTTTCAGGTCCACATACAAATATTTTAAAAGCACAAGATTGTCTTCATGTGAAGTAAGTTTTTTCTTTTGAAACGGATTAAAAGTGTGATTGTGTCACTTAGTGGAAAATTGTTGCATCTGTCTTTCTAATGTGATCTTACTCAGCCCTGATTCCTAGAAAATGGCACAAAAGTCTGTGTTAGTAACATGATGGTTGTTCCTGACCACCAGTGCTGGCTGCATGTGTACCATAGGCTGTTGGGAGTGATTTAGCTGCTTTCCTGAAGTTAGGTGGATAACTCTGAGTTGGTTCCCCTGCAAGCACAGAACTTTTTCTCTTGCCAGCTCTAAGAGATTTCCTTTTTTTTTTTTAAAAAAAATTTATTTATTATTTTTATTTTATGTGTATATGTGTATTGCCAGCATGTAGGTAAGTGCACCCATGTTGTGCAATGCCCGTGGAGTTATGGACAGTTGTTAGAGGCCATGTGGGTGCTGGGATTCAAACCTGGGTCTTCTGCAAGAACAACTAGTGTTAACTGCTGACCCATCTCTCCAGCCCTAAGAGATTTCTTTTATAAATAGATGGAAGCTCAAGATTTACTTTTTAGAAGTAATTTGTTAATCAGGCTGTACCCACCTAAGATGTCTTAACTGTGGAAGGCAGTGTCATCACTTCTAATTAATTTTTGGGACCAGACAGTGTTCAATCCCTAGAATTCACGAACTGATAGAAGGAGAGAGCACTCTCCACAGAATTGTCCTCTGAGTTTCACATGCATGCTGTAGCGTGCGTGCATACACACACAGGCACACACACACATACACGTGCGCACATGCTCCCACACACAGGCACACACACGCACACTCACACATGTGCACACTCGCGCACACGCACACGCGCACACACAGTACTACTACTAAATACGTAAATGAAGTGAACCTTTAGGCTAGCAGGCATGGTAATGGGCTGGTTCCTTCCTCACCCTCCCCATCCTCCTTCCTTCCTTGTATTCTGTTACCCTCTTTATTTCCCACTTAAGATCTCTTCTTCCTAGGATCCCCTTTCTGGTTTCCTGATCTGCAAGCACACGTATATAAACACACACACACGCATATACATATATGTATTTAAATTTTTTTTTTTTTTTTGGTCTTTTTGAGACAGGGTCTCCCTGTAGCCCCGCTGTCCTTGAACTCACTATGTACACCAGGTTGGCCTCGAACCCATAGAGATCCACCTGCCTCTGCCTCTCGAGTGCTGGGATTAAAGGCGTGCGCCACCATGCCTGGCTTATTTTTAAAATATTTTATTTATTTTTATTTCATGTGTATGAGTGTTATGCCTGCATGTATGTAAGTACACTTGTGTCATGCAATGCCTGTGGAGGACAGAAGAGGCTGTCGGATCCTCTGGAACTGGAGTTACGGACAGTTGTTAGCTACCATGTGGATGCTAGGTTTCGAACCCAGGTCTTCTGCAAGAACAGCCAGTGTTTGAGCCATCTCTCCAGCCCCCATATTTAATTTTTAAATTCAAGCTCTGCATATAAGAAAAAGTACACAGTATTTGTCTTTATGACTCTGGCTTTTTTTGCTTAACATAATTTTTAGTTGCATCCATTTTCCTGCAAATGCCATGATTTCATTTTCTTTTCTTTTTTTTGAGACAGGGTCTCCTTGTAGCCCCAGCTGTCCTGGAACTCACTATGTAGACCAGGCTGGCCTCGAACTCACAAAAATCTGCCTGCCTCTGCCTCCCAAGTGCTGGTATTAAAGGCGTGCGCCACCACACTGGCCATTTTCTTTCTGACTGCATAAAATTCTGTTTTGTGAACTAATCCATTCATCTGCTGATGGACATCTAAGCTTGCTCCACTCCTTGGCTGTTGTGAGTAGTGCAGCTGTGAACACAGCTGCGTGTACATCTGTGCTGTACAGACTTACGGTCCTCTGGGTGAACACCCATCAGCAGTGTAGCAGGCTTATTTCTGGCTTTTTGAGAACCTGCCCTGGACTACACCAGATTATACTCCTACCAGTCCTAAAAACGGAGTAATTTGGCATTGATGGGAGGTACGTGTGGCTTGTAGTTTATATGTAAATATAAATGGTAGATACACAGAGCCCTACATACTTACTTTTTTCAAAGATAATAGTCACTTACCATAGTCATTATTTTGTCCTGTTTAACATTTTATTGTTTTATTTCTCAATTAGACTATAAGATCACGAACAATAGAGATTATATCTTGGTGCTCTTTGGTTTTGGTTTTGTTTCCTACAGTGGGGACCTTGCTCGCCATGGTGTACACAGTGGAGGTTGACTGTTGAATTAATGTGTTCATGAATATTTGCAACAAAGATGAAGGGAAAGGGGTATGCTTTATTTTTCAGAAATGGCAAGTTCCAATCCCATGTACCAGGAGGTGGAGGAAGGAGACCTACCGACGAGATTAAAGTTACTAGAGGGGTCGGTTCCTTCTGATAGTCCTTTGTTGATTGCTTATGCTACCCGGTAGGTGGTCCAGTATGTTGTTTCTAGGAACTAAAATATGCAAATTTTTATGACTTGGTATCTAACATTTCTACTCATTTGCACATTGGGCAGCTCCTATTGCTAATAAGCCCTTAGTATAACCAAGCCATACTGTCTCATCGAAGGTGGATACTAATATGTTCTGTTTCAAATGCAGGTTGTATGAGAAGTTTGGGGAGTCTGCCCTTCGATCCTTCATCAGGTTTTATCCATCCATCTCGCCTTCTGACATCATGCAGCTTTGCCGTCAATGTCCTGCACAGTTTTTGGCCTATCTAGACAGTCTTGTGAAATCAAGGCCTGAAGATCAGGGGTGAGAGGAGGCGTGTTTGTAGACTCTCCGTTTGGTAGAGCACCATCGTTTGTGTCAGCTGTTACATTGTCACTGTCACTGCCACAAGGTTGAGCCACTGTTGTGGGAGATGAGGGTGGGGCAGTGTATTCGTTACCGTCCTGTTATTAAATACCACGACTAGAAATAACTTAAGAAGATAGAGCTTCTTTTGGCTTATGGTTCCACAAAGATGGGTCCACGGCAGAAGGAAGCTAAGTGATGACATTTCATCTCCACAGAGGAAACTTGCGGGGGTGGGGGGGGATGGTACACAGGAAGTGGTGTGGGGCTATAAACCCTCAAAACAACCGCCCCCGCGATTGCTTCTTCCAGCAAGGTTCTGCCTCCCAAAGGTTCTGTAACACCTCCAGACAGCCCATCTGGGGACCAGATGTTCAAACACATCTGTGGGGGACATCTCTCATTCTAACCACCACAGGCCGTTTTGTATCATCCTACCACCCACACAGCACATACCACAGGTGTACACGCACCACACTCACCTCCCTCAGCAGCTTGGGTCCTAGAGTAGCAGTAAATACTCGTTTCAGGGCCTCTGCTAGAACAAGCGAGCTTGCTTAGCCCTCTGCCAGCTAGTGCACCTGCTTCCTCCACTGGCCAGGGCCCAGCTATGGGCGGAGCTCAGCACCTATTCTTTCTCTCTCCAGGCTGGCCCGTCATTTCCTTTCTCTCCATGGTTGTAAGCTCCCATTTAGTTATCAGACTGCTGACTTCCTTTCTGTGTTCTGATTGGTTTGTGCCTGCCACGCCACTCCCACTCCCAGCCCCTTGTTTTTTTCCTTATTTTCCTACAGTTCTGTCAGTCCTTTAGCAGACTGTTATATTTTCAGTAGCATGTGTAGACATGTTGTAGTAGAGGTGCTTTCAAGGTTTTCCATCTGTTACATTGATATTAATCCTTTAATCACATTTTCTTTACGCACCACACTTTTCTCTCACTGTGAAAACCGATGACTTTTTCTCCCAACTCTCTCAGGCCATCCTTCCTTGAGTTCCTTCTGCAGCCGGAGTCTTTAAGACTGGACTGGCTGCTTTTGGCAGTGTCCCATGATGCTCCACCAAGCACACTCACTGTGGATGATGAAGGACACCCCAGGTGAGGAGCCCTCCTCTGAGGACATTCCTTTGCGGTGGGACTGAGATGTTCCTATGTAGCAGTCTGGGCTCACATTAGCCATGGAAACAATCAACCCAAGTGCTGCGAATACTGAGATTGTGTGGATGGCCTAGTCTTTCTGAACAATTTGAGGGTCATAGACCCTATACAAATCTCATGATCCTCCCAGAAAAATGTACATTCGTGTACAATTTTGCACATAATTTCATTAAACTGGCCTCCCTACAGCTCTTTTGTGAATACCCATTTTTTTTGTGTGTGTGTGTGTGTGTGTGTGTTTGTGTTTAAAATTTGTGAGGCTGGAGAGATGGCTCAGCAGTTAAGAGTACTGGCTGCTCTTGCAGAGGACCCAGGTTCGATTCCCAGCACCCACATGGTGGCTAACAGCTGTCCGTAAATCCAGTTCCAGGGGATCTGACACTCTCTTCTGACCTCTGCGGCATTGCATGACATGAGCACACTTACACACATGCAGGCAATACACTCATACACATAAAATAAAAACAATAAATAAAATCAAATATTGTCAGTGAATTTATAGACATAACTTTGATTTAGGATTAAAAAAGAACCTGCGACAGTGAACACTGAGGTCACATCAGGAGCATCCCTGCTTCTTCCCGTGAAGTCCCCCCGCTGCTAAACCCCTGCTTTCATTGTCTTATCCCCAGGCCACAAGTCTCCAAGATACGCAGCAGCAGTGCATACTGGAGTCGTGTTTTCAGTTCGTTTGCTTGCTTGTTTCAGTGCTAGGCTCAAACCCAGGACCACCTGAATTCTAGGCTGTCACTCTAGCACCAACCTCTACCCCAGCCCCTGAGTTTCTGAGATTTGTTTTGAATGAACAGGTTATTGGAAAAGTAGCTATTTTCAGTTTTTCAAAAGCCAAATAGAAATGTTTGAAAAATATAGTAATAAAGGACTGTACATAGACTGTAGTCTTACCAGCAGATCACTGCTGAGCACTTTGCAGTTATTTCCTGATTTATTGACATTTGTCATTTCACAGGCCTCATTCCCATTTGCTTTCCTGGGGTTACAGTCAGCTGATTCTTCTTCTGATTAAACTTCCTGCAGATTTTACAACCAAAGAGAAAATGACTGACATCTGTAGGTCTTGTGGGTAAGTGAGGGTTTTCCCAGATGCCAAAGTAAAGATTAGGGTTGGTGACTAACTTTCTAGTGTAAGGCCTGAATTGCTGTGCTGCATTACTTGAAAATTCAGTTTGTTACTGGAACATAAATGTACTATTTTAAGTGACACAAACACCGCTTTCCTCTGAAGTTGATGTGTGCACTGGACAGAGAGGATGGCTCTTGCCCGTCCCTTCTGCTCCCTCTGTTCAATTGCTAGCACCAGTTCTCAAGCAAGTAGGTATTATTTAAGTACCAGTTACAGTGGACAAAGATTTCTAAGAGGGAAGAGATCAGAATAGGCTTCGTAGAATTCCTGGTGCAGGGCTCAGGAAGGAGGTGAGGCCTTGGAGGTCAGCTCTGAAGACTGGACAGGATTGGTAGGGTGAGTCTGGTGAGGGGAGCAGCTGACCACAAGTTGATTATTCATGGCTTGATGATCTTAATGCTCAACCTGAATCATTATCTTTTAGAGGGACGTTTGTCTTCTCAGGGGGAATTAATGCAGTGACAAGTGTGTGATACATATTTGTTCCTTGATAATGAGGGATGAGGCTGGCCAGGTGACAAGTGGTGAGCTCATGTGGGACCTTGAGAGCTAGTCAGAAGAATTCAGTCCTCAGTAGAGACCCTTTTAGTTATTATTTAGTTATTATTTATTTATTTAGTTAGGTTTTATTTATTTATTTATTATTTATTTAGTTAGTTATTTAGTTAGGTTTTATTTATTTATTTATTTATTTATATGTGCACACATAGGTACGTGTTTGTGCATACCATGATGTGCATGTGGTGGTCAGACAACAGTCCTTGGGAGTTGGTTTTCTTCTTCCATCATGGGGTCTCTGAGATCCAATTCAGGATGTTAGGCAAGCACCTTACCTGCTAAGCCACCTCACCAGCACTTTTTTAGACTTTTTGGTACAAAAATGATAGGATGAACCAGGTGTGGTGGCGTATGCCTTTAATCCCAGCACTCAGGGGGCAGAGACAGGTGGATCTCTGTGAGTTCAAGACCAGCCTGGTCTACATAGTGAGTTCTAGGACCGCTGGGGCTACTTAGTGAGACTGTGTCTCAAAAAATAAAACATCGGGATGAAAGTAGATTATTTCTGGTGTCATTCATGAGGAGTGTTGGAGAAGGAAGAGTCTGCAGGGAGCTGCTGTGGGGGGTGAGTAGGTCGGTGATTAGCAGGGCAGCAAAAGGAGCAGGCCAAGGGCATTGCGGAGGAAAGTGCAGTGAAGCTTGTCCAGCAACCGAAGGAAGTGTCTGGGAGAACTTGGAGAAGTCTGGAGATTTTGTATCAAATCTTAAAGCTTAGAAAGTATATAAAGCTTTGTTTCATAAATGCACTAGGTCAGGGCTGCTAATAAAATTCTCTGTGGTAATGGGAATGTTCAGCTGCAGTGTCCAATACAGTAGCCTCACGTAGCTGTCAGGTGCCACCACAAGGCTGGCTCTTAAATTTTATTTACTCTAAATCAGTGTAAGCCTAAATGGCCACAGGTGGCTCGTGTGGGTAGTTCGGTGCCCATAATTCTTGCTCCTTTTTTCAACTCTGGTCCCTTTCAGTTTCTGGCCTGGATATCTCACACTTTGCCTGGAGCTGGAGAGGAGAAGGGAAGCCTTCACCAACATCCTGTACCTGAATGACATGAGCCTGATGGAAGGGGACAGTGGTGCGTGAACCCGACTGGTAGCTTTTATTGTGGGGTTTAGAAGTCGTTTCTCGCTGTTCAGTAAACACAGGTGGTGAACATTTGCATGATTGTGTATATAATTCTAGGTGGTTATGAAATGTGTGAGCTTTTGTCTGCATCCTTTTATGCATTATGAGAGCTTTTCTGTTTAAGGTACGTTTGCTGCTTTGTAAACACTACACTGCATGTTTTTCATGTGCTGTTTTATTTATTTTTAAAATTTTATTTATTTTTTTATTTTATGTGTATAATGCCTGCATGTAGATAGGTGCACCTGTATCAGAAGAGGATGTCAAATCCCCTGGAACTGGAGTTATGGATGGTTGTTAGCTGCCATGTGCATGCTGGGAATCGAACTCGGGTCCTCTGCAAGAGCAGGCAGTGCTCTTAACCACTGGGCCATCTCTCCAGTTGCCCCCCGCCCCTGTCCCCCGCCATGTGCTGTTTTAAATGAGGTAGCAACTCTTGGGATAGTTACTATTATTTCCTACCTTAAAGTTCTAATTGAGGCCCAGAAAGGATTCTTAAATGTCCCAGAGTCACAGGACTAGTAAATGCTGGCACTGGAGTTCAGACACAGCCTTCTCACAACCTGTTTTGTGGCTCCTTTTTATTGCCTCATGTTGCTGACTGTCCAGTCAAACGTTAGAGCTCATTACCATGAACTTGAAGTGCAGCAGCAGTCAGATTCCCTAAGACCTCACAGGTATTTTGGTTTATTTTTCAGATTTCCATCAGTCCAATACTGACTGGATGGCTGTCAGGCAGCCAGGATTCAGGCACCCCAGTAGCTGAATGCTCAGAGTCCGTTCACACTGAGAGAGGCAGTCTTAGTTCTGTTTGTCTGACAGCATGCTCAGCCCAGCAACTCGGCCAGGAGGACCCAGGGCCTTTCACTCCAGCTGTCTTTTTCCATTCCTGTTGTTATGGGAGAGAGAAACTTAGAATCAAGAAGTCAAGGGATAACTTCAGATGTCACAGCTACAATTCTGATGTCATTTTTGTTCCTGAAATGAAAAAGCTAGCCAGATTTGTAGGACTAGAACTACAGATATAATATCAGATACAATACCAGCAGAGTCAAGATAGAAACAGTTTGTGTTTTTTTTTTTTTAATATTTATTATTTATATCTTTTGTGTATGAGTATGTTGCCTACATGTATGTGAGTGCACCCATGTCGTGCAGTACCATGGAGGTCAGAAGAGGGTGTCGGATTCCCTTGGAACTGGAGTTAAAGATGGTTCGTAGCCGCCATGTGGGTGCCGGGAATCAAATCCAGGTCCTCTGCAAGAGCAGTCCTCTTAACTGCTGAGCCATCTCTCCAGCCCCACAGTTTTTTGTTGTTGTTGTTGTTGTTGTTTTTTGGTCTTTTTGAGACAGGGTCTCCTCGTAGCTCCAGCTGACCTGGAACTACCTATGTAGACCAGGTTAGCCTCGAACTCACAGAGATCCGCCTGCCTCTGCCTCCCAAGTGCTGGGATTAAAGATGTTCACCACCACGCCTGGCCACAGTTTGTGTTTTTAAAGTTACAATGTAATATGCTTGTTAGAGAAAAAAATAACAGTTTACCAGGCATAATGAAAATAGCACCTAAAGTCTTTCCCACTCAAATAACAGTACACCTAATACTTTGTTATTATAATTATACTAATGAGTTACTTGTGCCCTTGGTGTATTGAGTAGGACTTTTTTACCTTGACATTTTTCCTAATGATGTATGTCAGTCACTGTCCAAGGCGTGTCACTTTTTGCCAACTGTGCACGCCCATCCACCTTCTTTAGCTCACTGTTACCACTCTGATCTAGCTACTTGCCCAGACCACTGCAGACCGTCGCCGGACATCTGGCTTCCACTCTCCCCACATTTAACCAAACCCTTTACCTTCAGCAGTCAGAATCTTTTAAACAAAAACTGGGAGCTGGCAAGATGGTTCCGTGAGTAAAGACTTGCCACACAAGCCTGATGACCTGAGTTTGATCCTCAGAATCCATGTTAACGTGGAAGAGCAGAGCTGTCTTCTGACTTCCACGTGCCCACCACGGCAAGTGCATGCCCACGTACATGCACATTATACACACGCAGTGGTAATGGAGATAAAAATCTGAGTTGAGTCCCATGACTTTCTTCCCTGGAACTCCTTGCCGTGAACTCATAAAGTTCATATTGAGTTGGTCGTAGCATGCTGAACTCACCAGGTTCTTTCCTGTGGCTTGTCATCTGTGCTTCCTGTTCAGAAGAGCAGCCCCTCCCCTCCTAGAGCAGCCCCTCCCCTCCGCTTTCATCGCTGCTGGACGTTGTGCTGGCTGCATGCTTGTGCCCTGGTGTACCCTCGTCATATTAAATATCATGTCATGCAGCTGCTTGCTTCAGTGGGGCCTGCTCACAGCACTTCCTCAGATCCTCCAGGCAGACTGCCATGGTATAGCTCCATGTTCTTTTCCTCATAGACCTGGCAGTGTCTAAGTGTTGCTGTGCACCTATATTTAAGCCTTGGTTGCTACGAGAGTGTAAGGAAGGCTGTGTGTGTTCTGTTCTCACTGTATATCCAGGAAGCTTGAGGCTAATTCTTAAATTCTTTATCATGAAATAGTCAACAGACATTCAGAAAATTTGTGGTAAGGTATGAAATTATGTTCTTGGATGTGTTTGCTTTGATACTAAATGTTTTCACAGTTTTGACCACCTCGTCTATGGAGCCACTGTGCCAAGAGTCGTCAGACACACTGTCGTTTCTCTGTGTGTAGGGTGGATTCCAGAGACTGTGGAGGAATGGAAGCTTCTCCTACATCTCCTGCAGAACAGGAGCACAAGGCCAGGGCCCCAGGAGTCACTAAATGTGAGCCTCAGTGATGGGCCTGCCCCCATCACTGTGGAAAATGTGGCACTCCTGTTAGCTAAGGCCATGGGTCCAGACCGGGCCTGGTCACTGCTGCAGGAATGTGGACTCACCTCTGAAGTATCAATGAAGTTTACCAGAACCTGTGATATGCTGAGGATCGCGGAGAAAAGGCAGAGGTAATGCCAGCCTGCTGTATGCTCCCTGTGATGCCTGGAGAGTGTAGAACCCACGAGCAGAGGTAGACAGGGTCTACAGAGACCCCGTGGTCCCAGCCCTCCCTACACATGAGGAGGCTGAGACTCAGCTGTGATTAGTGATGAAGGGAGGCCAAGTAATGTTTTACCGGAAATTGTGACTAAGATGCTGTTTGGGTTGTGAGTGCTGAAATAGGATGTGTCCTCATTTTTAAAAGAATATTATTGATACTAGCTAGGTCACTAGGCCTGTAATCCAAGGGGAATCACAAGTTCAGAGATGTAGGAAATTTTACTGAGAGCCTTGTCTCAAAAAGTAAGAAGAGGGCCAGGGCTGTAGCTCAGTGACCAAGTATTTTTTAGTATGTATAAGGCCATAGGGTCAGGAGAGAGAGAGAGAGAGAGAGAGAGAGAGAGAGAGAGAGAGAGAGAGAGAGAGAGAGAGAGAGAGTGTTTTTTTTTACCTCTGTGGGCACTACACACATGACATGAGTACACTTACACACATGCAGGCAATACACTCATACACATAAAATAAAAATCTTAAAAAGAGAGAGAGAGAGAGAGAGAGAGAGAGAGAGAGAGAGAGAGATAATATATAATCAGTCAAGGTTTTTTCTTTTTCTGTTTGTGGTAAAATAGATATGATAGAAAACAATAGCAAAAAGCAAGCCAAGTGTGATGGCACACAGTGGGAAGACAGGACAGTCTTCAGTTCAATGGCACACAGTGGGAAGACAGGACAGTCTTCAGTTCAATGGCACACAGTGGGAAGACAGGACAGTCTTCAGTTCAATGGCACACAGTGGGAAGACAGGACAGTCTTCAGTTCAATGGCACACAGTGGGAAGACAGGACAGTCTTCAGTTCAATGGCACACAGTGGGAAGACAGGACAGTCTTCAGTTCAATGGCACACAGAGGGAAGACAGGACAGTCTTCAGTTCAAGGCCAGCCTGGACTCTACAGCAACAGCCAGTCTTAGAAAAAAAGAAATGAAAGCAAAAGTAGTTTGCAGTCTGGAGTGTCTGTAGGTGTGTGTTAGTGGACGCACACTGCTGTGTGGCCAACCTCCAGAGTGTCTTCTTTGAACCTGAAGTGCCCTAGCCATTAAGCGGCTCTTCATTCCTCCGCCCTCTGGCAGCCGTCTTTCTTCGCATTGAGCGTGAGCATCTCAGATACCTTGACTAAATGGAATGACATAGTCCAGGCTGAGTGTCTGTATCCCCCAATACACTTGGGGACACAAATGGTTCAGGTTTCAGATTTTTGGATTTGGGGATATTTGTATAGATGTCATTGGTTGAACATCTCTAATCCGAAAACCTAAAAGGTATTCTGAAATGTGAAGCTTCTTAAATTTTGGACTGTGGGATTAGGGCTGCCCAGCGGGCTGATTTCTCTCAGCACAGGGTCCACAGGATTTGTCTGTGTTGTAGCTTGTGTCAGAATGCGCTTGTTATGCATTGGCCGAAGCAACTGGCTGCTTCCACTTGGAGCTGTCGCAGGTCTCGCTGCTTTGACCTGAGTGCAGAAGCCCCTTTATGATGCTGCTTTTTCCTTTCCTTTCCTTTGTCTTTCTTTGTTTTTTATGAGACAGGGTCTCCCTGTAGCCCCAGCTGGTCTGGAACTTGCTATGTAGACCAGACTGGCCTGGAACTCACAGATCCACCTGCCTCTGCCTCCCGAGGGCTGGGATTAAAGGCGTGCGCCACCATATTCAGTTGCTTTCGTTTTTTTGTTTTTGCCCAGAAGTGGAGCTTCACACTGCTTTCTCCAGTGGTGGAAACACTTTATGGCGCACAGGGGTTCAAACATGTCCTTGTCTTCTTAGTTAACACTTGTTATTTCTCTTTTAATTTTTATTTTATGTGTAGGACTGTTTTGCCTGCAGGTATGCAATGCTCACAGAGGCCAAAAGAGTGCATAACTCCCTGGAACTGGAGTTACAGATGATAGAGAGCTGCCACGTGGGTGCTGGGAACCAAACCTGGGTCCTCTACAAGGGCAGAGCAGCCAGTGCTCTCAACGGCCGGCTGGCTCTCCAGTCCCAACACTTGCTGTATTTTTCAATCATAGCTAATGTCTTTTGTGGGGAAGAGAGCTCATTGTGGTTGTGATTTGCATTTTCCCAATAATTAGTGGTGCTGCATGAGCATCTCGTTGGGTCTCTTTGTGTATCGTCTTTGGAGGAATGGCTAAGGCCATTGTCCGGTTTAGAGTCGGCTGCTGGTTGAGTTGCTGTGGGAGTTTTTCGTTTTATAAATGTTGGCCTCTTACCAGACATGACTTTCACGTTGTCTCCCATTCCACGGGTTACTTTTCCCTCTGTTGATTCTTTCCTTCCTTCCTTTTTTTCCAACACTGGGGATTGAACCTGAGGCTTCACATGTGCTAGGGAAGCGTTCCACCAGCGAGCTGTACTATAGATTTCAGCTGTGTCTTTTGATCCATAGGATCAGTTAAGTTTTTGAGTCCTCCTGAGTCTTTAGATTTTTTATTAGCCAGTAAAAGAATGAACAAAGACAATTAAATTTGCCTGTTTCTTTTCTTTGGAATTTCAGAGCGTTGATACAAAGCATGCTTGAAAAATGTGATCGGTTTCTCTGGTCACAGCAGGCCTAGTGGAAATCTTGGCAGGACCTAATAGCATTTTGACAGACTGGAACTGTACTCCGGAATCTTGAGAATGAGTTTGCTGCTGAAGGAAAGGCGCCACTCAGACCATGCACACGCTGGACCTGCTGTTCCAGGGTCTGCACTGAGGCAGTCAACATCTGTGGCTCTGTGACCTCAGCATTTCTCAACCGAAGTTGGACTTTGGAAGGAGTCAGTGTTCGTTTGCTGGGACCAGAACGCTGCTGTTCTCAGCCATGTGGTATTTATTGTGTGCACAGTGTTGTTTCCTCTCCATAGTCGATCAGGGCATTGTATCCGGGAATTGTTTTCCGCCGTGGCTCTCTGTTGGGAGCAGAAGCTCTGTTACATGAAGATAGTAACGTTATTGACTGGAGTTCAGTTCTTTCTACATCTTGTCTGAGGCAGTCTAGAAATTGCTGGAAGGACCGGGAATAATGGTATCGACATATAATAAATGTTGAAGATTCAAATTAGATCTTTAAGTATAATATAAATATCAAAGTTGAACTAATTTAAAGCATTTTTTATTTATTTGATGTCTTTTAATCTGAATCTATGTACATTGACCAATCACTGCAAATATGTTATCTGTAATCTTTTCTAAAGTGAATAACCCAAGAGAGTCGTGCACCTTAAAAATTACTTTTAAAAAGCCATAGTAAGAGAAAGCCAAGGACTAATAAAGATTGTAACAACTGATTGTGTCATTTAGCTGTGTACCTGGATTGTCATTTTTTCAGGCCCCTGTGCATTGACATGGCAAGTTTTTAATTGACCAGAACATCAGCATGAGATTTCTTTCTCAGCAGTCTGCGGAAGGGGAGGGTAAACTTGGCCACACTGAATGACTGAACTCTTTCACTATTTTCCCTGTTTACAACAAAACCAGAGAAGTTACGTTTCCTGTCATCCTGACCGGTGACCTTGGATGTGGTTTGGCCTGGTGGACTGAAGGTGGTGTCAGGGAAAAGAAGTTTCATGAAGTTGCTTAGAATTTGGTGAAGTGTGGCGAACCTTCCTGCCAGCATTGCCTGGGTTTTGGGTGGGTTGGATTAAGTGGACCCAGTGTGCTCTGAGGCAAAGGGAGAGACCCCTCCCTTCACTGTCAGCTCCAGTCACTACACAGTGGCAGCAAGAGGGCCCAGAGCACATCTAGCAAAAAGCAGATGCCACCTAGAACTGGCCTGACTCTAATCATTTCCTCATAGCCCTCCCAGGGCAGGTTACCAGTCCTTATTTTCCAGCAGGTACAGAAATCCCTGACCTAACACTAACAATTACATCACCCAAATTTATCTTCCTAAAATCCCCTTCAGCTAAACATTGACATTTGAACTATTGATTTGAGTACTTTTTTTAATTGAATTTTTTATGTATTTCATACAGAACATCTCAATCTTACATTCTCAGTCATACATTCTGTCATTTGTCTTAAGGCCTATTGTGTCAAGTTAGTGTCCCTAGATGTCCCTCAGTGCCAGTTCATCTACAAGGTTGAGATCTAGTCAGCCTATCTAGAGTCCCTTGCTTTAGGAAGATCAGCTCTTCCTCACCCAGCAGTGATCAGTTGCCAGTATTTCTTCAGCCAAGATTGGAGTCAGCTGTCCATTTCTCCAGTTCTATGCTGGGTTTTTATCTGAGTTTGCATGAGTCCTGTGCATGCTGACACCATTGCTGTAGATTCATATGAGCAGGGTCCCAGAAGCTTGTAGGCCTCTGTTTTCATACAGTCATGCACCTCCCCTGGCTCTTAGAATCTTTCCGCCCCCTCTTCCACAATGGTCCCTGAGTCCTGAGTGGGTGAAGTTTAATACAGGAGTCCTGTCCAAGGACCAGCATTCTGCAGACTCTTAGTCTCTACACTTTGGCTGTTTGTGACCTTTTGCGTTCTTGGCCCTTTGTTGCATGAGGAGACTTCAAGGCTCACAGAACATAGAACAGGGGTAAAGAAGACAATAATGAATATCCTAATTCTCGTTAATGAGGCAGCATTTTCACATGGCAGGTACATCTTCCATTTGCTGAGAAATTCCAGATCCATGGCTGTCTCACTTTCACTTCCTTCCAGATCTGAACACTGGTCACCACAGCATAGTAGAGGGCCGTCAGCTTGTCTTCAGATGCTGACCTCTGGGGTCCAGTTTACCCTCCACCTTCCTGCAGCCTATGCGCCCTTCCACTAATGCTCTTGGGAAAGTTACTTTGTTTCTCTTAAGTTTTGGTTTGGTGGTTTAAAAGACAAAGCTCCACCATAGTAGCTGGCACTTGGAAACAGAGTTTCAAGCTACCTAGCCATGGGAACTAAGTATTCCCTGACAGTAACTGGAGTAGAGCACCTGTGACAGCGAATGGGTCATGATGTTAGCTGTTGTTGAAAGATTTGGAATATTGTTCTCCCCCAGTAGTAATCAGACCCATAGAAACTGGATTTATACAAACCGGAGAGAGGGGGAAGACCAAACCTGAAATGAAGAATTTTGTGGGTGTGTGAAATTTGTCGTCGTCTGGTCAGGCCTTGACATGGCGTCATCTTTGCCTCCTCTGTCCTCGCTGTGATTGTTCTGTGTCAGTGGTGTTTTCCATTAGTCATTTTCCCTGTTTTCTCTCTTGCTACCAACTATTACTTCCTGCTCAGACCAGTGAGGCAGTCCAGGGCCTTTTGAAGGTCATACTCTCAGCTACCAGACAATCTCAGTACATCAGAAGATAAGTAACCTTGGACCTCACAAACCTGGAAAACCATCACAATCATGGTGGAAGCTTGCGTCCTGCCCTGACTTGGATTCAGTTTAACCTACTTCCAGTTGTCACCCATCCTGCCTTGTGCCTGGATTTAGATACAGCATTGTCCTGGTTTACCCTAAACTGGATTTATATGAACCAGAGAGACTGAGAAGACCAAACCTGGGCCCTCCCATATCACTCAACAATCAAAAACTGCCTCACAGCCAGACATGGTGGCACACAACAAGGCCCCCCCAGAAGTGGTTATCTTGGTCACACAAGAAGTTAGCTGCAGATGCACAGCTTGAACCCCTGTCCTTTGGAGGCCCAGTATTAGTCCTTCAGTGTGAGCTTTCTGGCGCTTGGACACTTTCTGCATGTTGACCTCTCTGGTTATGTGCCTACCCAACTCTGGCAAATCCTTTCCTGAGAGTTATCAGCTGGAACTTCCAGGATTTTGTCCCTTTGGATTCTATCTGATGTGATGAAACAGTTGAAATCTCTCTTTAGGTAGAAGTCACAGCTAAACTAGCTTTTCCTACTCTTTACTAGAAAACTAATACTGCTTAACTTCCCAGATAGCCCTGCAGAATGACCCAGGGGAGAAGCCTGTGTATTCCAGCCAACCCTAGTTCAGCGGAGCAGAAAGGAGCAGCTAGAGAGGTGCCCTGTTTGCTTTCTGTGCTTTGCTGCATGCCATGGCCAATGGACCACAACCAGCTTGGGGATTTCCATGTAGTGTGTACTCCCAAGTTACAGTCCAGCAAGGAAGGAAGTCAGCAGGAATTCAAGGCAGGAGCCTGGAGGCAGGACCTGAAGGTGATGCCATGGAGGACGCTGCCTACTGGTTTGCTTCTCCTGGCCTGCTCAACTACTTTTCTTATGTAGCTCAGGCCCACCTGCCTGGAGATGGCACCACACATAGTGGGCTGGGCCCTCCCACATCACTCAACAATCAAAAAGTGCCTCACAAACAGCCACGCATGGTGATGCACACCTTTAATCCCAGCTCTCAGGAGGCAGAGGAAGGTGGATCTCTGTAAGCTTGAGGTCAGCCTGGTCTACATTGTTCCCAGTCAGCTGGGGCTACAGGAGACCCTGTCTCAAAAAGACCAGACAGAAGAAATTCCACAGTTGAGGTTCCCTCTTCCCAAGGGTGCCAAATTGACAAAGCTGGAGAGATGACTCAGTAGTAAAGAGCACTGGCCGCTCCTGGCAGAGGACCCAGGCAGCTAACAGCCGTCCAAAACTCCTGTTCCAGGGGAATCTGATGCCTTCTTCCAACCTCTGTGGGCATTGCACGACACAGGTGCACTTACATACTTGCAGGACAGTTGAGGTTCCCTCTTCCCAAGGGTGCCAAATTGACAAAGCTGGAGAGATGACTCAGTAGTAAAGAGCACTGGCCGCTCCTGGCAGAGGACCCAGGCAGCTAACAGCCGTCCAAAACTCCTGTTCCAGGGGAATCTGATGCCTTCTTCCAACCTCTGTGGGCATTGCACGACACAGGTGCACTTACATACTTGCAGGCACCCATAACACAAAAAGAAATTGAAACAGTAATACAAAACCTCCCGACTAAAAAAAGCCCAGGACCAGATGGATTTACAGCAGAATGCTATCAGACATTTAAAGATCTACATCCAATACTACTTAATTTATTCAAAAAGATAGAAATGGAGGGAGAACTTCCAAAT